ATGAACGCGTAAAAAATGAAAAGAATGTTTTTATTTTATTGTTTTGAGTAGAAGTCACGGACTTTCTGATTTTCGTATTCGAGGTTTTGTGATTAATTGCTTTAGATCAAGACATTGATTGCTTGTTCTATAAAGTTGAAATTCCATAAAGTTGAAATTTAATTTTTGAATTAAATTTTTTTGTGATTTTTTTAGGAAGAAAACAAAAGGAACGGCAGGGTGATTCATGAAAACCAACAGGGTGAATAGTAAAAACCAACACGATGAAACATCGTAAAAAACAGGGTGGACCATAGAAAACAACACTAAAGGGAGATGAGAGGAAACTACGAAACTATGATATATTTGCAGGAGAAGCAAGCAGAAGGAATCAGTGGAAATTGTGATTAAAACGTAAAAAGAGAAAACCAAACCTTTTATTTTTACCGAGAGTTTATTCGCAAATGTTTCTTTGTATAATATATATCTCTATTTATAAAGTTGAAATCTCTGTTTTACTGTCCGTTTGTTTGTTTGTCCGATCATAACTCAGGAACCCCTGGACCGATTTGCCTCAAATTTTTATTGGGGAACTCGGGAGACCCACGGGAATGTTCTTAGCTTAGTTTTGAGTTTCTAAGTTAAGCGGGTCGACTTAAATAGCGAAAATTTAGTTTCCCGGTAAAATCGTTTAAGTGCGGGTAAACGGCGGGAGTAACTTTTAGTACCTGGGCAGCGCTGGGTTCCCAAGCTAGAAATGTAATTGTATAATATTGAAAAAATGTATTTATTTTGTATTTTTTACAATTCTTATTCTTCTCCTGAATTACATTTACTTTAACCGGGAATAACGGAATTCTGAAATATTTGTTCTGAAAAACTGAAAACCATCTGCACAGAACTTAACAATGTCTATAAAATTATCAAAATGGTCACCGTAAATAGATTTGTTTATTCGTTTTTCTTTTTGATAAATATTTTTCTATTCAACAAATCTCGCAAAAGAAAGTGTTGAGAATCTTTTTTAATTTGAGACGACTGGAATAAAAAATGCAAGACTTTCTGACGTTTATTTGGCGGTGAAAACCAAGGGTTTGGATAAGACAGTCAGCGCCACCTACCGGCAGAGTTTGTAACTAAAGTTTGAGAATATTTCGAATTTCTCCGCTAGATGGCTCTGTGTGTTTAACTGAGGATTAGAATTTTACCGCCGGTATTCAAACATTGTTGAAACTCTTGGGGGAATCTAGGTCTTCAAAAGTTCAAGCTAACTAGTCCTGTAAATCAACATTTAATAAAGATATAAAAGTTGACGTTTAAAATTGTTCATTTAGTTCAATTTTAGAAAAATATCTATGGCATAACACGAATTATTATTAACTGTTTATCAAAGAGAATTGAATTTTATATTATTTTAATTCTAAATATAGTTTCTAAACAAAACAAGATAGTTTTCATTTCAACATATTGAACATCTATAAACAACGGAAAACTATAAATTATAGATGGTTCAATAGAAAATGAATTTTAAACTATGTAATAATAAAATCTTGAATAATCTTTTTAATTCTAGCACCCCCCTCACTTAAATCCTGTATCCGCCCCTGCCTACTTACATCTGCGATCCTATATGTATATTGTATATTGTATACATCATATTCTATTTGTGTCCGTCCTAATCAGGACGGAAATTGAAGGGGGGCGGCGGGGCGCCCCCCCCCTGTTGGAAATCAAAGCCTATTATGACTCACAATGCTGTGAATGGACCATCAGGTTTCAATTCAAACACCTAAACTTTTTCTTCAGAACATGTTAATATGCAGTCTATTTCTGAGTTATAAACTCAATTTTCAGAAAATGCCACCAAGGGAATTTTCCGCAAATCCATTTTAAAGATATTTCAGAAATCAAGCATTTACAGGTCTAAAATCAAACATAAATATTCGTTTAAAGACTTTAATATGCTTCCTCTGTTTTTTTTTACAATATTTTTTGAAATATGAATGGCAGGGTCCCCAAATTTTGTAACTTCTCATGAACAGTCAAAAGACATATTGTAGTAAAAAATCAACTGCCTGGCTGACTAGATACGGTCTGAAAAAGTCTTTTTGATGTGATTTTTAAGGATTCAGCTTCAAAAACCCTTTTATAGGCAGAACTTAAACAGTCGTACAGTTCACTTATGGCTTTGAATTTTTACTAAAACGTGTCTTAAGACTGTTAAGGACAACTCACAAAATTTCGAGACCCTGACAGTTCAGAATCAGCTTAATCAAGTCTTGAAACTAAAGATACATTTGTTTTTAGACAAGAAATGCACTTGATTTCTACTGCAATATCTTAAAAATGGATTTATTCAAAATTCCCTGGAGGGCATTTCCTGAAAATTGAGATTTTAATTTAGTAGACTGCATATTAATATATTCCAAAGAAAAAGTTTAGGTGTTTTGACTTGAAACCTGATGGTCAATTTTCAGCAGTGTAATAGCTTGAGTCATCAATCGTTTATTCAATTATTTATCAATATCTGTCCTGTTTCATTTTGCAAATCTTAAGCAAGATTTTTTTTCCAAAAATTATTGTTCATTTCAAATGCTGTGTTGATGACAGTTCAACGACATGAAATTAAGCAATGAAAAAGATTGAAATTAAGAAATGAAAAAGATTGTAACACAAAATCAAAAATTTTCTAAGCAAGGGGGCTTTGTCACCCTGCAACCCCCCGCCTCGTTCTCTTCTTTTCCCTCGGTGCGCCCCCCCCCCCGTCCAAAAACACCCAGTTACGGGCCTGCGTGCTATCCTAAAAGTGTTTCCATTCTATCCTACTTGTGTACATCCTATTCTACTTTTATCCGTCCGGTCCTGCTTGTAATCGTCCTATACTACTTTTATCCCTGCTCTACATGTTTCCGACCTACTCTACATGTGTCCGTCCTGCTCTACATGTATCCTTCCTGCTCTACATGTCTCCGTCCTGTTTTAATATCCTGCTCTAAATTTATCCGTCCTTCTCTATACTTGTATCCGTCCTTCTCTATACTTGTATCCGTCCTTCTCTATTTGTATCCGTCCTTCTCTAATTGTATCCGTCCTGCTCTACATGTATCCGTCCTATCCTACTTGTCTCCGTCCTTCTCTATTTGTATCCGTCCTGATCTGCTTGTATCCGTCCTGCAATACATGTATCCGACCTATCATACTTGTCTCCGTCCTATCCTACTTGTCTCTGTCCCTGTCTAACTTGAAACTACTCTGAAAGGATAAATGCGAATAAGTTTCTAGTATTCCTAAATATCTCAATTCTGATGTATGGAAGAATATCTCATTATTTATTCTATTCTATTCTTCTCTGTTGTTAATGTTATTCTTGTTCTTGTTTATTCTAACGTAAATTAAATTTCTGAAATTAAAGATTATCAAAGATTAAAATATATTTAGACACAATTCAATGTGTTTCTCGACCTTTTTCTTGAGAGAAGATTTTGGCTCCTTTAACATTTAAGATAAGGATTGATTTTACAATCAAATATTTTTTATTTGCATCGCTCGCAGTTTGCACTTGATTGGGATAGAACACGAAACAATCATGAAAAAGATGGTTTCTGTATGGGCAGACAAACTTCAGAATGGAGGTTGTTTACGTACAGAGACCATTGTACGAAATTTACCCCGTCTTTAAACTAAAGATGTCTTTAAGGATGTCTGGCAGCTTTTCACTTGTCACTTTCCAAAATCAAATTTTGTATCATTAAAAGGTATAAAATAATCCCAAAGACCAAAAAACTCCCTAATTATAGTTATATTTAAAGATTTCAAGGTGTCATTTATAAGGTCTCATCGTTTGAGACTGACCCTAAATGACTACACAGCACTAATGTGAGATATTATTGCACAGCTGCATGTACGTAATGAAGTGTAGGTTGAGGTTAGGTTATGTACAATTTAATGTACAGTAGAGTAGATGCATAGTGTGGTAAGCAAATAGAGGAGTAGACCTTTGATATTTCAAACTATAAATTCTGTTGGTTTAAGTCGTCTAAGTTTAAAATATCAAAAGTTTACACCATCAGGTGGCAAAGATATGGGGATTAGAAAATTTTAGTTTCTGGCAAAATTAAAAATTTTTTGATTTTAGAATTTACAAAAGGTGAGATTAAAAACTGAACCAGCATGTGTATTGTGTATTATATAGTAATATGTAAATTTTTGAGATTTATATTGATTAAAACTCTTTGAATGGAGGCAGATGGATATTGTTCTGGTCAAGCTTATGAGAATAGAGACCTGATATATTCCAGGCGGGTTGGGAAACAGACAAAAATATGATATTCCAGAAAAGTTGAACAATTTCAAAATCGATTTATTTTTGTTCAAAGTTGGGGATTTCTACCAATAAAATCACAATCCCATCATTCTTTAAAATTCCCCCAGTAAATCCCGCAGGGGGAAATGGCGTTTTAAAATATTTAATCTAAAAGTAAAATTATAGACAATCTTGTCAATAAATAAAAATAGATTTTAGATAATATTTTCTACGTAATTTTCAGATTATCTTAAAAGTAGTGTTTGGTTTATTTCTTTTAGGATATAAAAATAATCCTACGAAAATATTTCGATAAACGTATATTACACCTGTAATTTTGTAATTTTACATCAATGATATAAATATATTGTTTGTAATTCCAAATTACACGGGACAGGAGTACTCTCAATGAAAACTTTTAATTTGCCCCCCCCCCCCACTCATTCGCATAGTTTAATCTGTTGCAAATTCTAAAACAAGAAGGATTCGCACCTTTGCAGAGAAACTATGCAAGAGAAAACTATTTCTGAAACAAAGTTTGCGAAATGTCGGATAATATTGGTTTGCAAACTTTTCAAATATAAATAATTCCGCCGGACTCTAACCAGTCCGTCGAGAGGTTGAATGAGGTATCGGAGTAAGGTTTGACCAGGAGTAGGGACGGAACCCTGTAGAAGCCAACTAACTTATAACAAACTTTAGAAAAGTTTTCACTAACCTTGAGCTCCGGGTCCTCACCGAGTAGAGGAAACATCCCGTCAAACGGAAGTGGTGGAAAAAGTCCTGTTGGAAAACGAACCGGAGGAAAATTATTTCTGGGTTCATTGTCTCGGGTTGGTTTGGCAAGAGCTTGCTCCGAACTATGATTAGCTCTCTGGTCCGAGGGTTGGGATTGTATTGGAGAAACGGGATTGAACGACAAAGAAGCTGAAGTTGTAAGTGCTAAAGGTAAGGTTTGTTCTTCTTCTTTCTCATACTCCTCATCCATAATCTCCTCGTCCTCCTCATCTAACTCCTCATTCTCCTCGTCCTCCTCCTCCTCTTCCTCCTCTTCGTTCTTACACAACTCCATCTTATCCTCATCCGACTCACTCACAGAGGAAGCATTGAACTGAAATTCTGATTTTTGCAAAAGTTGAAGAGCATGAAGTTTTTGCAGCTCCTGCAATCCTTGCTCCGTCTGCAAGCTGCTCCTTAAAGAATGAAGCTTCTGAATGAGCCAATCAAATTTTTGAAGTCTCTCAAGAGCATCAAAGGTTGCCATCCTGGAACCGCGTAGAGTCAGGACTGGTTGAACCAGGAGAAGAATGGGTTAGGTGTACTGCTCTCTTGGAGGATATCCAAGAAACTAGATTCTCCTTGGTTGTCTCAACCCCAAGTGTATAAGAGGCTGACTCTCAACGGTCGCAGAGAAGCGCTCCATCCTCAGAATTTTTCTTCCTTGGCCTCCGAAAAGGCGGGTTTGTTTCCCCATCGAGTCCTCAACCAAAGTCTTCCCGAGCGATGAAGGTCGGACCGGGTCGGTGATAAGATGGTCTTCTTAGCTTCCCCCCCCCTGTTCCTGGAGGTTCTAGCTTACTCTCTAGGGAAGACCCATCCTCCGGGAAAAAGTGGGAGGGGGGGGGGCAGGGGGACTGGGGAAATTAAGGCTGATCACGCATGCGCTTTAGAGATTGTCTTGCGCAGAATTTAATTTATTGAAGTTTTAAGACAGTTTGACAAGATTCCCCATTGGAGCAGACCAGGAGAGAGATCGATTTTTCTCCGGACATCTTGTTTCAAAATTTCATTCAAACTCATTTTTTAAATTTAGAACATAATCCTTTTCAGATTTTTATCTTTAGTAACAAGGCTTTTACATAAAATATCTTCAGGCATTTTTCTTCTTCATATATCGCTAAATAATTTAGAAAAGTAATATAATTGAGCCTATTTTCTGGTATTTCATAGTTTCTTTTTATAAATAAAAATGTATCACGTACTATTATGTCTTTCAATACCATTAGTTATTTAAAATAATTTTTAGATTACATTATATTTTTATAAACATTCATTCATTCACATAAATGAGCCTTTTTATTTTTTTCTTGACAATTATTATTTTTAGCTGTTGCTCTTCAAGTCCCCATTTTTCTCTGTTTTCAAAAAAAATATTTTTCCTGGATTTTTCGGTTTAAATTCGCGCATTTTCAGAAAAAAATATCGACATTCTTCCCAGATAAAATGTTTCAACTTTTAATGACCATAAACCTTCCCTAGCGTCGTGTGAGTAGACACAAAAAGATTGGGCCCGATCGGTTCAGCCGTTTTGACGTTTATTAGACGCAAAGCTTAATTTTAATCAAACTTTTTTGAATTATTTTTTGTATACAATACCAATTATATTTGGAAGAAAGAAAAATATTAAATATTTATTTATAAAAAAAACTTAAAAACAATTTGAATGTTTACAAAAAACTAAGATTATTATCAAATCAATAAATTTCTTTTCTTGCAGAAGACCCAGATAACCTCAAGGAGTGCAACTATAGATCCTAGAACTAGTCCTAGAAGAAGAACTAGAAATATCCCTCCTAGATTATGTAAGGTTAGTTTACTAACTCCTCCAGATGACTCCTCCTCTAAACACAACCCTCCTCCTCTCTCCTCTCTCCACCACTTCTCCTTCAACCTCTCCAGTACTCCGTCCTGTCTCAACCTGATGATAGCACTACTAATCCTGGACCGGAGATGGGAACCCTTTCTCATTGCAACCCCGTAGCTTTTAGAATCCAGGTTTCCTCCAACCTTGGTTAGCTTACAGTTTCTCTCTATCTGGTATTCTATAGATGTGGATTCCATGAAGAATGCATATCCACCATTCTCCATGAGAACCTTATCTATCCCCTCCTGGTTAGATTTGACCAAACTGTCTCCCCAACTCTGCATTTTGCTCCACATCTTCTTATAGACCGGAGAATCAGACTCACTGAAGAATGAGAGAGTTGAACCCGACTCAATAGATCCGTATTTTAGGTCGGATTTGGCCAGATCTTGGACGGAGGAAATCGGAGAATCCATTCTCTCTATGGTAAGGAAAGCTGCAAGGTTCGCTGTGTAGGAGCTGATCATGATGAGGGTGAAGAACCACCAGAAGCTGGCGACGGTTCGGGTTGAGAATGCTCTGGGTAGGAAATCACACCCCTGCTGGACCCAGGAGGAAGCAGAAAACCAGAAACAATGTCTCAGAGATAGAAAAGGGCTCACCCCTTCAGATGAATCCAGCTCCGCAGTTTCTAACGGAGAAACTCTAGCAATCAAGAACAATGTAAGAGAGACGGAGATTCCTCCGACCAAAGTCAGGATCCAAACTTCTCCGGAGAGAGGTGTTATGAAGGAAAATATGTTTATTGACTTGGACGGAGAAGAGACGAATAGGATGGAAATCCCAAGATCCAGGAAGGGCATGGAGAAATCAACAACCTTTTCTCGTTGATAGTTGATTGTCAGATCAGCTATTGCAAGGTCTGCCTGTCCTTCCAAGATTTCTCCGATCATTCCGTTCCAGGATCCGTCTGGGTTCTCAGATCCGTATCCTGATACTACGTTGAGAGTGTAGTTGAACCCAACTATACTTGATATCTCGTTGATAAGGTCGATAGCAAACCCTTCATAGCTTGGAGATTTCTCTCCTTGATTCGTCATTGGTGTCATAGTGTAGGGAGAGCTTAGAATAGTTGCTACCACTAGCCGGCCTTCAATCTTTTCCGTATTCGGACTAAAAAACTCGGAAATCTCAATTTCCTTAGATCTGAGATATCCAGACTGCGGAGTCCAGATTCCGTTGGCGACAATCTTCCCAAACTGTGTTTCCGATACCTTTAAAGAAAATGAGGATCTTACTCCGGTTTCGTCCAGAGAAACCATCCCGCTTTCTCCGAGGAAACTCGTCCCTCTCATTTTCTCCAAGATCTTGTATCCGTCCTCCCAACCCGTGGAGTTTGTACAGGTTCTGGGTTGAGGATGAGTAAGCTGACCAGCCATGTTTAACGATGCTAAACTTTTAGATAAAATATCTAATCCGTCAACAAGCATCATATACTCCAGGTTGTACTTCTCCTCTGTATCTAGAGAAAGAAGAACTATCTCTGCTCCCAGAGAGTGAAATCTTTTAAGATGGGAAATATTAAAATGGAGACAAGGAAGAATTATCCGTTTTCGCCTTCCAAGGAGACCTCTGACGAGTAAAGTTTCTAGAAACTCTAATCCTTCCTCTTTGTTGCAGGACGCAAGAACAATATTTACTCTTTTCTCCTCTAGGTCAGGTGTGCTGGGCATATCGGAGAGTTTGATAAACTCTGTAGATCTCCGTCCTGAGGTTTCCCGGAATAGGTTCTCTAGAGAGAGAAGATCTGACCAATCCTCGTAAAACACAAGAGTATCCAGGTCCCCGGAGAGTAGGCTAGAGATCCCCGAACCAAGGGAGAGAGAACTTGGAGCAAGGTTGACAGAGAAAGATCCAGGTGCGAAATATCTAAACTGTACCGTCAGAAGAGGAACCCGAAGTACTTCAGCTGAAAAAAAATCATAATTTAAAATTCATAAAAGTTGTAAATGTTCAGCATTTTGTTTCCAATGAACTTTTAACCACAAAAAGCTGGTGAATTTCACGACGATTGAAAAAATTTGAAATCATTTATATTAGTTCGCCTCAAAGAAAAATGTTAGGGGGTGTAGGATAAATTTTGATTTAAAAAAGAATCTATTCGATGTTTCTGTAAACTTTAAGCTTATAAACTGATTTACCACTGTGTGTTTAGATGTGGTTAATTCTTTACCTCCTTCTTTTAAAGGGACTGTCGGCGTAACATCCCTTTCTAGAGTGTTCGATTTACAACAGTGCCCTTTAAACCAATAACTGATCTACAGAAACTTAGGTAATTATTGAAAACATTGTTTGAAATATGTTTTATATGTAAGAAATATTAATATTTATTTTCTAGAATTTTCTAGATTTTTCTAGAAATACTAAGTACGCTAGAGTAAAAACAAGTTTTACGGCAATTTGAACATTATTTTAGAGATAAACTCACTCAGTTTTCTATTCTCATTATTCAAAGGTTTAATAGGTACCGTTGTAAATCGGACATTCTCCTTATTGCATGGAGGGTCACTCTAAATTACGCTTATATAGTCCCTTTCAGGATTTGTGAAATCTTAAAAATTTCTCTAAATCTAAAATTAAAGAATAACGCTTTTTCACCTATGGATTGTAGGATGGGAAAAGCAGAACCGGGACGAAAAACAAGAATTCCTGAGACTCCAGCAGAGATAAGCTGACACACAGCTTCCAGGTTCCTTAAACTATCCCCTGGAGTAACCCGAACCTTGATGATCTCAAGCTGAACCCAGTTCTGGTTAGTTTGGAACCGGAGCAGGGTCTGATCAATCTCATTCTCCAGAGTAAACTCTGGGATGAGAAGCCCAACCTTGAAGATATTCCTGGTTTCATCTTCTCTCCGTCCTAGTTCAAGACGTTCTCCAGCTTCTGATCGTTGTCTCATCAATCATCAACATTTTAAAAATTTTAGATTTTTACATTTAACATTATTTAGATAAATGTTTATGCTTTTAGTTTATGATACTGCAGACATATATGGAAAAGAAAATGATATTTTTTCTCTATTCTAAACAGGAATTGTCGTTGTAATTTCAAAAATGCCAAATTCATATCGATATCCTTTAAACCTTTATCTGACTAATTATATTGTGGAAGATGTATACTTTTTTAGCTTGAAAAGTGCTTAATTCTAACAATTTCCAAATGTTTTCTTTATGACTATATCCGCAAGTCACTTTTATAGATTAGTCACAATTAAAATTAACCAATTTTAATAGTAGTCCTAAATATATCATTAATTTTTAATCAGAAAATGGTTTCAAGGGTAGTGTTGTAGATATGAGTGTCACTTGAAATAACATCTACAATCCCTTTAATACAAAGAAAAAGAATTTAAACAAAGATGAGACTAACCCTGAGATTTAGCTAAATAAAAACAGAGTATTTTTATCAAAAATATATTTAAAATCATTTTTAATTCATTATTTTCTGAAATATTTTAAATGCAAAACACGAGCGAGTCATGTCAGTGTGTGTGTGTGTGTGTAAATGTGCATGTGTGTAAAACCTATGCAGTTTTGCATCGAATGTGCAAATATTTAATTTAATGTGACGAACCCGGCTCAGGTCGAGGAGAAGAGAAATTTGCAAAACCAAAAAAATCCTGAAATTTTTCTCCCTGCACTCCATACCCAGCCAACCCCATTCATCTCAGGATAAAATATTCTTGCAAGAGAGATTATGCACGGAGTACTAAAAAAATATAAGAATGTATGAACGTTGATTAAAAGTCGTCTTTCTTAACGCAGCATTTAATCTAAAATCTTGAATTCTTGTTTTGCATCTTTAAATGGACTGTAAACATCAATGTCAAAGATTCTTTTATATTTGGCGTGTTTGATTCACAATGGTACCATTTAAACGATATATCCATGTTTTAAAACTAAAAATTGAGTGTTTTCAATATTAAGTTCTCTGTAACACCGACTTACGGATTTATGCTGCAGAAACAATTAAGGAAGTTTTTAAAATTTATAACTTTCAAGTCAATATTATTTTCCATAATGTTACTCAGAAAGAGGTTCAAAGGTAGCAGTTGTGAATCGTCCTTTTTACTTATTAAATTGGGGCTCACCTTAAAATACACACACAGTCCCTTTAAAACTTTACGCAATTTAGTTTTTTTAAAACCTAATTTTAAGAAATCAATTCTAGCTTTTAAATACAAAAAAATGATTTACTTTTCTTTCTAAATCAGGATCTTTTTGGTCAGCAAAACATCTTTTTTATTGACCAGAAGAAACCGACTTAAGCAATGTAGAAGTATTGCGTACAAGATTACAGATTAAGATTGAAATACAAAAGGTTTTCAGAAATATCTAATTTCCTTGAGAATACCAGATAACAATATTAATTTTTGGCTAAAAATGACGAAAAATTACTTTTTACAAAAAATTATGTTTTTTTTTGTCCTCCTTGTACCAGGATACTTATATGCAACAGTAAGAAGGGGGAGGAAAACTATCTAATAACCCGCCGCCCTCCCCCCCTCAACCCCTTCCAAACCCAAAACAATAAAGTCTTTTATTTGTGGAGTTACGGCAAGGTGGGGTTTAATTACTTTTCCTTGAACGATTAAACAATAATAAAAATATTTGGACTTTTTCCAGACTTAAATAAAATGCATCCATGGTCACTTCAACTATTAAATATGTTTTATTGGTTCCGAAGAAAGCGAAAATGATTTAAGGTGGAATTTAGGCTGTCAAGAGTACAGAGGGGCCCTCTATAGAATTCTGGAATAGGAAGGCGACAGTTAAGCAATCTTATGTGTATTTGATGTTTATATAAAGCAATTATGAGAATACAATTTTTTAAGTGAAATGGGTCTGGAATTGCAGCTGTATCAATGTACTATTTAAAATCATTATTTTAGTCCAACGGTCGTTCTTCAGCTTCCTATTCCACAGTTTTTGGGGCTCACTGTATATCTATAAATGACGATTAAATCTAATTTTAAAATCGATGTTTTTTAAAGATTTTTTTTAAAGTAACAAGAAATTTTTCGGTAATCTTCATTTGATTTTACTTATAATTGATTTATCTTTTGTTTAATCAACATGACCCAAAATCTAAAAATAAAGATTATAAAAAAGACGACATTTGTAAAAGAATCCATCGGCAGATGTTTGATTAGATTATTGAACAGAAACTATCTGAGAGTAACAGAGAGTATCAGAGAGTATCAGAGAGTGTCAAAGAGTATCAGAGTGTTTCAGAGAGTATCAGAGAATATAGAAGAGTATCAGAGAGTATCAAAGAATTTCAGAGAGTATCAGAGTGTTTCAGAGAGTATCAGAGAGTATCAAAGAGTTTCAGAGAGTATCAGAGAGTATCAAAGAGAATTAGAGAGTATCAAAGAGTATCAGAGAGCATCAGAGAGCATCAGAGAGAATCAGAGAGAATCAGAGAGTATCAAAGAGTAATGAGTATCAATATCAGAGAGTATCAGAAAGTGACAGAGCGTATGAGATAGTATCAGAGAGTATCAGAGAGTTTAAAAGAATATCAGAAAGCATCACAGACTACCAAAGAGTATCAGATAACATCTTAGAGTACGAAAGAGTAACTAAGAGTATCAGAGCTGACTATACAATACATATTAGTAATGTATTATAATGCAGTGTTATATATATTAGGATTAGTGTATTATATATTTATGATAAACCAATCCACATTCATTTGACTTTTATACAATAAAAGTCTTTCAAAAGTATGTATAAACAGACGGACAAAAAGTATGCACAGACGGACAACAAGTCTGAATAATAAAAAAATAGAAAATTACGAATTTTTTGGTCCGGAAAAAACTTGGAGCAAAAAAAATATTGAAACTTTTAAGTTCACTTGTTTAAATCTATAAAATAGATGATTTCGATTTGAAGCATAGAAAACAACTGTCGGACGGAAAGAGAGAAAAAGATCTTTTGATCTAAACTTAAAATATTCAGGTTCAGGGGTTTAGGTTTAGCAGAGAGATGCCTTAACATTTGATGACAACAAATTTTTTTTTAAAATGAAGAATTTTTTTGCCGGTTCTTTTCATTTTTGTCATTAAAAATTTCTCCGTTTTTATTCTTTCTTTTCTTTCCTCCTTCTCATTATCAATATTTACACGGAGCGTATTGAAAGGTGGACCTGGAGAACCGTTGACAAGATTATCTGATCCCTCCTGCTCAGATCAATCATTAGATCTGACATGAGCAGGATCAAGATCAGGGATGAATAATGTCAACATTGATCAAGAAAGGAACTAAATACAGATTCGCAGACATTTTTTTACAAAGTTTTTGATTTGGTTTGACTGTATCACCACTTAAAGCCATAATAATTGATGCTTGAATATGTAAATTTGAATTTACATTTGATTGCAACAAAATCTTATTTTCTAATTTTTGAATCTTCTCAACCAAATGTCGTAGACCTTAGATATTTCAAACTATGCATTCTGAGATGGAATTTAAAGAATTTGAGCCGCGGTTTAAATCCGCCAAAATCCGCCAAAACCCGGTTTAAATTTAGCGCCGGCTTAAATCTTGAAGCATTTGATACAATTTTAAGTGGAACCAACCATATTTAACCCGCGGCTTAAATTTAAACCGCCGCTCAAATTCTTTAAATTCGGCCACAGTTAGATCAAATAGTCTAACTTTGAAATATCAAAGGATTAGGTTGAAAAGATATTGAAAAGATTTACAGGGAGTAATGACAGGGATTAGAAAATTAGAGTTTGTGGCAAGAGTTTTCGTTTTTTCTTTGCGCAAACTAAAAACTAATGACAAATTATTTTTTTTTGATAAATCGAGCTGTAATAGTTCCAGCCATTTCCGATGTTTCTGTCAGAAGAATTTATTATGACCACCATTGACAAACCAAGAAAATTGTTCCTCACATTATAAATGTGCCTTTTTTCATAATTCAAATCTTTCTTTTTGCATCTATTATTGTATACGATCCCTTATTAGGAACAGAAAATGATTTGGGAAACATTCTTGGAAAATAATTATTGCAAAACGACGATATACTTCTAAACTAAATATATAATTATATATGAGTAACTTATGTAAAAATGATTTCTCTTAATAAAAACTTCACAAAGATATGTCAATACAAAGAAAGTAATCAAAAATAAATCTAAAAAGTTACTTAGTCTAAAATGTGGAAAGAAACCCAAAAAATCTATTTTATATTATTTTCAACTGTGTATTAAAGGTTGTACTGTATAGTGGACTAAACTTAGATATTTTGAAATAAATTTACATTCTCTCTCGTATGAACCCCAAGCCCCCCTTTTCATATGCTAATTTTACATTTTTTGTTCACAATTTAAATAGAAGATGGGCGCAAAGCGACCTAAAAGCCTAGAAAGAAGGACGGAGTGCCTTGAAGTTCTAGTATATATATATATATAAATCTATTTGTAATTATAAAAAGCGATGAAACGGCTGAACTGTTTCCTATTAGAAAGAAGGGCGAGAGCTTTCTTGAAGTCTAGTAATCATAAATATCATTTACAAGGGGGTGGATTACAAAATGTAAATTATTATTATTTTGGCCGAGTTTTAATGCTTTATTTATAAGTCTTCAATCTCACTCAACAATTTAATTTAGTTTGACAACCAGCATCTATTTTTTCATGATTTACAACCAAAACCCCTAAATCAAAATAGACACTAAAAACTGATGAATCCTCTTACATTTTTTTTATGTTTTTTTTAAGACAATTTCATAGATTATGATAAATGTAAAATATAAATTGTATAAGTCGTTGTACTGAGCTTAAAAAAAATGCAGGCAACAGGCTTAGATTCATGCAGTTGATATTGCATGATAAACTGCATTGCATAGTTTAGATATATATATATATATATATCTAAATATATACAAATATTCATCAAATATTAAAGTTGAAAAACACACTAACTGACAAAGACTAAAGAAGATATAATTACGTAGCCAAGAATTTTTATCTACGAAATCAGGAGGT